ACCATAACGTACCGCTCTCTCTCTCTCTCTCTCTCTCTCTCTCTCTCCTTTTATGCGCTATAGAATGGGCTGGTCCATCTCTTTCGTTGCAGTACCAAGGTAATCCCCCCGCCCTGGTACCTCTGTTGCAATGCTCTCTTTCTTTCTTTCTTTCTTTCTCGTTCTCTCTCTCTTCTTCTCTTTCTCTCTTTCTCTTTCTCTCTTTCTTCTCTCTCTCTCTCTCCCTCTCTCTCTCCCCATACCTATGTCTCTCTCTCTCTCTTCTCTCTCCTCTCTATCTATCTCCTCTATCTCCTATCTATCCCTCTCTCCCTATTCCTCCCCCATCACACCCTCTCTCCCCCCACCCCCATCCCCCTAATCCTCCCTCCTTCCCTCCTTCCCCCCCTCAAAAAAAAAAAAAAAAGACTTTCCATCAATCATCCACGTTATTGATACACGCACTTGCAACCCTCTCTCCACCGCGACGCATCGCCATCTACGTAAAACCCGAACACGATTTGAAAATGTTTACCGACAGCCACTTGTCCTCTTCCGATGAAAGTGGTGTCGTTACAGGAAGCGAAGCCGTGTTGTCTTGTCGTTGACTGGAAACCCACACTTCGATTGCACAAGTGGTGTTTGTACAGGGAGATCGCTAGCAGTACTGTTATTACTATTACTATTTCTATTGAGAACGGGTGGTGCAGTGGTAATGGTATCGTCTAGGTAGCTTGGTGATCAGCGTTCGATCCCGTGGGGTGCTGACAGTGGATGGTCGGCCTGGCCATTCCTTGCGCACGGGGGGTAGTTTAGAAGTGGCTATATACAGACAGCTTGTCACACCAAGAATAACGTATGTAACAGATGGATTATGATCAAACGGAATATGATTAAAATTATTATCATTGTTAATTACTACTAACACACTATATACTACTACTACTACTACTGCTATACTATCATTACTACTACTGCTACTACTATTACTACTACTACTATTACTACTACTACTACTTACTTAATACTATTATTACTACTACTGCTATTACTACTACTGGTACTACTACTACTATTACTACTACTACAACTATTACTACAACTAATACTATTACTACTGCTACTGCTACTACTACTACTACTGATGATGGTAATGATGCTACCACTTCTCTTGCTTCAATTACTGAACAACTACTACTATTCTGCTACTGCGACTACTGCCACAACTACTACTTCTGTTGATGCTATTATTAAACGACTAATACTACTAAATCAGCTAAATACTATTATTACTACTACTACTATTATACTACTAACTACTATACTGTGGTAGCTACTACTACTATACACTACTACTGCTCTACTACTACTAGTATATGTGCTGACCACTCTACTATTACTACTTCTACTACTACTATTACTACTATGCTACCACTGATACGACAGACACTGCTTCTGCTACTACTACTATTACTGCCGCAGTTACTACGATTACTACTACTACTACTACGACTTCTACTACTACTGCTATAACCAAAGGAAAATCAAGCGATTTACGACCATATCACAACTGTTGTGGAAAATTTCACAACAGTTGCTAAAAAAAAGTAAAAAAAAAAAAAAAAAAAAATCTGTCAGTTCTTTCAAAAAACACAACAGGTGCTAAGATAAAAAGGGGGGGGGGGGAGTTCCATTGCTTGTTGATAATTTCACAACAGCTGCTAAGAAAAAGGAAAAAGAAAATAAATAAATAAATTTTCATTACTTCTCGAAAACCTCACAACACTTTCTAAAAAGAAAAAAAAAGAAAAAGGAAAATTCCATTGGTTGTTATAAATTCCACAACAGTTACAAAATAATAATAATAATAATAATTTGCGAAAAAAAATCATAACCAGAATATCACAACCGCTTTTGCAAAAGGAATATCAAATCTTTGTTAAAGATTAAGTACAACACTTTATCAAATAATAAATATCTATTAATAATAATCAACATCATTAATCCAAAAAGTCTTACCCAGAATCTTACAACATTAGGGAATGTATATATACTTAGATAAGTAAATTAATAAATAAACAATTATTGCACAAAAGTAGTAGAAAAAGAATAAGAAAAAAATGATAATGGAAGAAAAGGAGGAAGTAGAGAAGAGAAAGAGAGGAGATGAAGATGAAAAGGAAGAAGAAAAGGAAGAAGACGAAGGAAAAGCCAATGACAAAAGAAATAATAATAAAAGATAATAAAAATAATAAATAATAAATGAATAAAAAATAATGATAATATCATCATAAATCAAACACTCATCTTTTTCCCTCAAAAGCAGAGAATCCTCAAAAAAAAAAAAAAAAAAAAAAAAAAAAATCCCTATATTTCCCAACCCACGTGCACGCCCATTACCCATAATGCCTCGTCTCCGACCCTCCCATCGCCCCGGGGTCAGATCGTGGGGTCAAGTACGCTGACCAATCCTTAATATGACCTTTTCTTGATTATTTATGATTGTTGTTTATTTTACGTTTTAATGGCGTGATTTTTCTGTCAATAAATGTTGTCTCGAGTGTGAGACGTCCGGGGGGTCGCTCTTTGACCTCTGACCTCTGGGGTGGATCGGGTGTGGAGGATGGGTGGGTTGGAGAGTGGATGGGTTGACCAGGGCTGACTTTGGTGACTCTGCTTCTGGGGTTGACCTCCAAGGTGACCTCTGGGTTGATCTCTGGGATGGGTTGACCTCTGGGGCTGACCTTTGGGGTTGACCTCCAAGGTGACCTCTGGGGTTGATCTCTAGAAGGAGAGATTGACCTCCGGGGCTGACCTTTGGGGTTGACCTCCACGGTGACTCTGGGGAGGGGTTGACCTCCAGGGTGACCTCTGGGGTTGACCTTGACCTATGGGGTTAACTTCCAGGGTGACCTGGGGTTGGACGACCTCCAAGATGGGGTTGGGTGACCTCTGGGGTTGACCTCCAGGGTGACTCTGGGGTTGACCTTCAAGTGACCTCTGGGGTTGACCTCCAAGATGACCTATGGGGTTACTTCCAGGGTGACCTCTGGGGTTGACCTCCAAGGTGATCCAAGATGACCTATGGGGTTAACCTCCAGGGTGACCTCTGGGGTTGACCTCCAGGGGGGTTAACTTCCAGGGTGACCTCTGGGGTTGACCTCCAAGGTGACCTCTGGGGTTGACCTCTGACCTCCCTCCAAGGTGACCTCTGGAACCTCCAAGATGACCTATGGGGTTGACCTCCAAGGACATCCAGGGTGACCTCTGGGGTTGACCTCCAGGGTGACCTCTGGGGTTGACCTCCAAGATGACCTATGGGGTTAACCTCCAGGGTGACCTCTGGGGTTGACCTCCAGGGTGACCTCTGGGGTTGACCTCCAGGGTGACCTCTGGGGTTGACCTCCAAGGGGGTTGACCTCCACTCTGGGTGGTTGACTCCAAGGTGACCTCTGGGGTTGACCTCCAAGGTGACCTCTCCTTGGGGTTGATCTCCAGGGTGACCTCCTGGTGGAAGAGCTAACTTCTTACACTGACCTCTAGGTTGATCTCGGAGCTGACCTCTGGGTTGAAGGGCTAACTTCTTGCGCTGACCTCAAGGGCTGATGACCTCTGGTTGGAAGAGCTAACTTCTTGCGCTGACCTCTAGGTTGACCTCGGGGCTGACCTCTAGGTGGAAGAGCTGACTTCTTGCGCTGACTCTGGGGTGACCTCCGGGGCTGACCTCTAGATGGAAGAGCTGACTTCTTGCGCTGGCCTCTAGGTTGACCTCTAGATGGAAGAGCTGATTTTTTGCGCTGATTCTAGGTTGACCTCTAGGTGGAAGGGCTTGACCTCTGACCTCAGCGCCTTACGAGAAGGGATTGCTCTAATACCATTGGTCGAAGGAAAGGGGGGGGTCAGGGAGGGGGAAGGGGGTGCAGGGGGGCGGGGTGGGGGAGGGGGAAGGGGTGGGGGACGGGGTGGGGGAGGGGGGAAGGGGGTGCAGGGGGGCGGGGTGGGGGGAGGGGGGAAGGGGGTTCAGGGGGGCGGGGTGGGGGAGGGGTGGGGGTGGGATGGTAGGTGGTTCCTGTAGGGTGGGAGGGGTGGAGAGGAGGAGGGAGGGGGGTATAGGGAGTTCCTGTAGAGGGAAGGGTGAAAGAAAGGGAGAAAGGGGGTGTAGGTGGTTCCTGTAGGGTGGAGGGGTGGAGAGGAGGAGGGAGGGGGGTATAGGGAGGTCCTGTAGAGGGAAGGGGTGGAAAAAAAGGGAGAAAGGGGGTGTAGGTGGTTCCTGTAGGGTGGGAGGGTGGAGAGGAGGAGTGGGGGGGGGGGAGGGGGGAGCAAGGTCCGAGCCGCGGCGGGACTCCTGCAGGCTCAAAGGTCGTGACCGGAGATACGAGGTCACGACACTCCAGCCTCGCTCGTGGCCTGTCACGCACCGCCACGCCCCCCTCTCACGCCCCCTCCCCCTCCCCCATGTATCACGACTCGCTGACCCCTCCTTCTTCGGACTCCCCCTCCCTCCACCTCCCCCACCCCTTCCACATCCCACCCACCCCTCCCCCACTCCCCCCACCCCACCCCCCCACTTCCCTTTCTGGTTCCTTCAGACGGGTCTATGGGGGATGCTGTCTCCCCCACCCTCACCCTCCACCTCCCCCACCCCATTCCTTCAGACGGGTCTATGGGGGATGCTGTCTCCCCCACCTCCCTCCTCCCCTCCCACCCCACCCCTCCACCTCCCCATCCCACTCTTCAGACGGGTCTATGGGGGGAACTCCCACTCCCTCCACCCCCCTCCCACCCTTCACCTCCCTTTCTGGTTCCTTCAGACGGGTCTATGGGGGGATGCTCTCTCCCACCTCCCCTCCACTACCCACACCCCACCCTCCACCTCCCTTCACCTCCCTCCCTTCGGGGTCTATGGGGGGATGCTCTCCTCCACCATCTCCCCACCCCACTCCTTCAGACGTCTATGGGGGATGCTTATCTCCCTCTGGTTCCATGGCGGGGTCTGTGGCGTTCCTACGTGACCCCTATTTTGGTTCAGCCGTAAGTCCCCGTTGACCCGATATGGCCCTGCTTTGCGATGCGTCAGAAACCCCACGCCGTGTCTTTGTGTTCCGGTTCGTTATGTTCTAGGTATGTTCTGGATCTTGGGTTCATGTCTGCGTTCATTTCATTTTTATGGTATATGTATTATTCATCCATGGGTATAGTATGTATCTTTATGATTGTGTATTATTCATGTAAGGCTATATTAGTGTCTTTTTATAATTATTAATTATTCACGTAAGGGTATATTATGTATCTTATGATATTATTCATGTAAGGGTATATTATGTATTATTATAATTATGTATCATTCATATATGGGTATATTATGTATTGTCGTGTCTGCATCATATACCATATGTACATGCTGTATTGTTTATTTTTGTCTGCATACCTGATGTATTTTCATGCTGCATTGTATATTTTGTCTCCATACCTGATGTATTTTCATGCTGCATTGTATATTTTGTCTCCATACCTAATGTATTTTCATGTTGTATTGTATATTTTGTCTGCATATCTGATGTATTTACATGCTGTATTGCAGTGTTGTCCAAACTGGGGTACGTAACATAATCACATTAAGTTGTGTATTTTTTAACGCATTTTGTTATTAAATCACCATTTTTATTCCTTTATTAAATTCTAATTTATTGACCAACACTCCTGCAATTCAGTCTTTTCATAATTATTATATTATTTGCATTATAAAACAGTTTGTTTAGCCATGGTGGACGGGGGGGGGGAGGGGGTACGTAACGGTACAAGAAGGTGATAAAGGGTACAATAGGCGGAAATGTTTGGACAATACTGTTGTATTGTATATTGTATCTGCATATTTGGTGAATTTTCCTGTTGTATTGTATATTGTATCTGCATATTTGGTGAATTTTCTGTGTATTGTATCTGCATAATTTTATCTGCATATTTGTGAATTTTTCCTGTTGTATTGTATATTTTATCTGCATATTGGTGATTTTCCTGTTTGTATTGTATATTTTATCTGCATATTTGGTGAATTTTCCTGTTGTATATTTGTATCTGCATATTTGGTGAATTTTCCTGTTGTATTGTATATTTTATCTGCATATTTGGTGAATTTTCCTGTTGTATTGTATATTTTATCTGCATATTTGGTGAATTTTCCTGTTGTATATTTTATCTGCATATTTGGTGAATTTTCCTGTTGTATTGTATATTGTATCTGCATATTTTGGTGAATTTTCCTGTTGTATATTTTATCTGCATATTTGGTGAATTTTCCTGTTGTATATTGTATCTGCATATTTGGTGAATTTTCCTGTTGTATTGTATATTGTATCTGCATATTTGGTGAATTTTCCTGTTGTATATTTTATCTGCATATTGGTGAATTTTCCTGTTGTATATTTGTGCATATTTGGTGAATTTTCCTGTTGTATATTTTATCTGCATATTGGTGAATTTTCCTGTTGTATATTTTATCTGCATATTTGGTGAATTTTCCTGTTGTATTGTATATTGTATCTGCATATTTGGTGAATTTTCCTGTTTTATATTGTATCTGCATATTTGGTGAATTTTCCTGTTGTATTGTATATTGTCTGCATATTTTGGTGAATTTCCTGTTGTATTGTATATTGTAATCTGCATATTTGGTGAATTTTCCCATATTTGGTGAATTTTCCTGTTGTATATTGTATCTGCATATTTGGTGAATTTTCCTGTTGTATATATTTATCTGCATATTTGGTGAATTTTCCTGTTGTATATTGTATCTGCATATTTGGTGAATTTTCCTGTTGTATTGTATATTTTATCTGCATATTTGGTGAATTTTCCTGTTGTATATTGTATCTGCATATTTGGTGAATTTTCCTGTTGTATTGTATATTGTATCTGCATATTTGGTGAATTTGTTGTATTGTATTTTATCTGCATATTTGGTGAATAATTTGGGTGAATTTTCCTGTTGTATATTGTATCTGCATATTTGGTGAATTTTCCTGTTGTATTGTATATTTTATCTGCATATTTGGTGAATTTTCCTGTTGTATTGTATATTGTATCTGCATATTTGGTGAATTTTCCTGTTGTATATTTTATCTGCATATTTGGTGAATTTTCCTGTTGTACTGTAATTTTCCTGTTGTATTGTATATTGTATCTGCATATTTGGTGAATTTTCCTGTTGTATATTTTATCTGCATATTTGGTGAATTTTCCTGTTTGTATATTGTATCTGCATATTAATTTTCCTGTTGTATATTTTATCTGCATATTTTGGTGAATTTTCCTGTTGTATATTTATATCTGCATATTTTGGTGAATTTTCCTGTTGTATTTTATATTCTGCTGCATATTCCCTGTGATTGTATATTTCTGCTATTGGTGAATTTTCCTGTTGTATTGTATATTGTATCTGCATATTTGGTGAATTTTCCTGTTGTATTGTATATTTATTGCATATTTGGTGATTTTCCTGTTGTATTGTATATTGTATTGCATATTTGGTGAATTTTCCTGTTGTAATATTGTATCTGCATATTTGGTGATTTTCCTGTTGTATTGTATATTGTAGCATATTGGTGAATTTTCTGCTGCATATTTGGTGAATTTTCCTGTTGTATATTGTATCTGCATATTTGGTGAATTTTCCTGTTGTATTGTATATTTTATCTGCATATTTGGTGAATTTTCCTGTTGTATTGTATATTTATCTGCATATTTGGTGAATTTTCCTGTTGTATTGTATATTGTATCTGCATATTTGGTGAATTTTCCTGTTGTATATTTTATCTGCATATTTGGTGAATTTTCCTGTTGTATTGTATATTGTATTCATATTTGGTGAATTTTCCTGTTATATTTTATCTGCATATTTGGTGAATTTTCCTGTGTAATATTTTATCTGCATATAATTTTTCTGTTGTATTGTATATTGTATCTGCATATTTTGGTGAATTTTCCTGTTGTATTGTGTATTTTTATCTGCATATTTGGTGACTTTTCCTGTTGTATATTTCTGCATATTTGTGAATTTTCCTGTTGTAATTGTATCTGCATATTTGGTGAATTTCCTGTTGTATTGTATATTTTTTATCTGCATATTTGGTGAATTTTCCTGTTGTATATTTATCTGCATATTTTGGTGAATTTTCTGTTGTATATTGTATCTGCATATTTGGTGAATTTTCCTGTTGTATTGTATATTGTATCTGCATATTTGGTGAATTTTCCTGTTGTATTGTATATTGTATTATTTGGTGATTTTCCTGTTGTATATTTTATCTGCATATTTGGTGAATTTTCCTGTTGTATATTTTTATCTGCATATTTGGTGAATTTTCCTGTTGTATATTTTATCTGCATATTTGGTGAATTTTCCTGTGTATATTTTATCTGCATATTTGGTGAATTTTCCTGTGTATTGTATATTGTATCTGCATATTTGGTGATTTTCCTGTTGTATTGTCTGCATATTTGGTGAATTTTCCTGTTGTATATTTTATCTGCATATTTGGTGAATTTTCCTGTTGTATTTTTTATCTGCATATTTGGTGAATGTTGTATATTGTATCTGCTATTTTCCTGTTGTATATTGTATCTGCATATTTGGTGAATTTTCCTGTTGTATTGTATATTGTATCTGCATATTTGGTGAATTTTCCTGTTGTATTGTATATTTATCTGCATATTTGGTGAATTTTCCTGTTGTATTGTATATTTATCTGCATATTTGGTGAATTTCCTGTTGTATGTATATTGATCTGCATATTTGGTGAATTTTCCTGTTGTATTGTATATTTTATCTGCATATTTGGTGAATTTTCCTGTTGTATATTGTATCTGCATATTTGGTGAATTTTCCTGTTGTATTGTATATTATCTTATTTGGTGAATTTTCCTGTTGTATTGTATATTGTATCTGCATATTTGGTGAATTTTCCTGTTGTATATTTTATCTGCATATTTGGTGAATTTTCCTGTTGTATCCTGCAATTTGTGAATTTTCCTGTTGTATTGTATATTGTATCTGCATATTTGGTGAATTTTCCTGTTGTATATTTTATCTGCATATTTGGTGAATTTTCCTGTTGTATTGTATATTGTATCTGCATATTTGGTGAATTTTCCTGTTTTAATCTGCATATTTGGTGAATTTTCCTGTTGTATTGTATATTGTATCTGCATATTTGGTGAATTTTCCTGTTGTATATTTTATCTCTATATTTGGTGAATTTTCCTGTTGTATATTTTATCTGCATATTTGGTGAATTTTCCTGTTGTATTGTATATTGTATCTGCTATTTGGTGAATTTTCCTGTTGTATATTTAATATATTTGATTGTATTGTATATTGTATCTGCATATTGGTGAATTTTCCTGTTGTATTGTATATTTCTGCATATTTGGTGAATTTTCCTGTTGGTATATTGTATTGCATATTTGGTGAATTTTCCTGTTGTATATTTGATCTGCATATTTGGTGAATTTTCCTGTTGTATTGTATATTTTATCTGCATATTTGGTGAATTTTCCTGTTGTATTGTATATTGTATCTGCATATTTGGTGAATTTTCCTGTTGTATATTGTATATATTAATATATTGCATATTTGGTGAATTTTTCCTGTTGTATACTGCATATTTGGTGAATATTGTATCTGCATATTTGGTGAATTTTCCTGTTGTATATTTTGTCTGCATATTTGGTGAATTTTCCTGTTGTATTGTATATTGTATCTGCATATTTGGTGAATTTTCCTGTTGTATTGTATATTGTATCTGCATATTTGGTGAATTTTCCTGTTGTATTGTATATTGTATCTGCATATTTGGTGAATTTTCCTGTTGTATATTTTATCTGCATATTTGGTGAATTTTCCTGTTGTATATTGTATATGTGAATATCTGCATATTTTGGTGAATTTTCCTGTTGTATTGTACTCATATTCCTGCTGCATATTTGGTGAATTTTCCTGTCATCTGGGTGAATTTTCCTGTTGTTATTTTATCTGCATATTTGGTTTTCATTGTATATTGTATCTGCATCCTGTATATATGTATGAATTTTCATCCATAATAAATTACGTATTTTCATTCCTGTATTGTACATGAATACATCATATATCATATTATATATTTGTATATGCTATGTATAGAAAAATAAGAAAGAAGGAAAGATGAGATAGAAGGAAAATAGAAAGAATTAAGAATGGAAAACGAGAGAGAAGGAAGAAGAGATGAAATAAAGAGCGAGAAGAGAAAGAAAAGAATAAATAAAGAGAAGGAGAAAGGAAGAAGAAATAAAATAAGTAGCGAAGAGAGAGAAAAGCATAAATAGAGAGAAAGAGGACGGAGAAAAAAAATAACGAAATAGGGAGAAAGAGAAAGAAAAAAGGAAAGCAGAAATAGGGAAATATTGTACAGAAAGAAGAATGAAGGAAACAGGAAATATTGGACATAAAAGAGAAGAAAGGAAAGAGAAATGAGAGAAATAGCAAGAAAGGGAATGAACATATAAAGAAGATTATAAGAAATGGATATGCAAGAAAGCGCAAAGAACTAGAAAGAAAGAATAAAAAGATGAAGATGCAAGAAAGAGAAAAGAACATAGATAGAAAGAACAATAAAAATAAATGAAGATGCAATAAAGAGCAAAACATAAACAGCAAGAAGAATAGAACAAAGAAAAGAAAATGAAAGAAATAACCAGAAAGAGAGAAATCTTACTTACCTCCACACTTTAAAATTCCTAAGACTCCCTCCCTCTCCTCCCCCCCACCCCCACCCCTTTCTATCTCTCCTAGAGCTCTGTCTTGCAAACCTTTTCCCTCTTATCTGTGACCTAGCATGTACCGCGTGACCCATTACGTTTGCCATTCTGTGCCATATTCCCCCCGTGACCTCTCGTGACCTCCCGTGACCCGCCATGACGTGCAGAGGTCAACTACCCGATCCACTCACTGTCTGCCGAGAAGCTAGGTGACTGGGCTGGTAAATGAGTGTGCATTTCTTATCTTTTTCTTATCTGGGAGAACTGTCTTTCACTGTCGACTATTTTTTTTTTATCTTTTCCAAATATATGAGGTTTATCTACTCACTTGCCTTGCCTATTTCTCTATCTATCGAGTTATTATTATGTCTATTTTTTATATCCATAGATAGAGATAGGACAAATAGACATAGATATTGATATATATACAGTAGGGAACTTATCTTCAATAGATAGATCGGTAGATAAATAGATAGATAGATTGGGATAATTATACCAACAAAGAGATATAAATAGATAAAAAACATGTAGAAAGATAAATAGTCGTAGACAAACAACCGTAAATAGATAGATATATAGATAGAGATAAATAGATTTCCAGGAAATAATAGATAATAACATATAGATAGATAGATAGGTAGCCTTAGACAGATAAAAGTAAATATATATACAGTCATAGATTTATAGGTGTAAATATATAGACAATCTTGAATATGATGATGTAAATATATAGATAGATAGGTGTAAAGATATAAACATATCGATATAGATATATAGAGATCCCTCGATAGATTGAAGTAGTATACATGTAGCCATAGATATATAGCTGTATGGATAGACTGATTTAGTATACAGGTAGCCTTAGATAGATAGTCCTATATAGATAGATAACCCTAGACAGAATGACTTGATAGACAGATAGCTTTAGATAGATAACCCTAGATAGACAGATAACCCTAGATAGAATAACTTTTTAGGTAGATATAGCTGTGTATAGAAATTTAACAGGTTTATGAAGAGTTTGGCAAACATCCTAAGTTATTTTTATAAGTTTAGCTTTGTTTTAAAAGTGAGTAGGGATAAACTTTATGAAGAGTTTGGAAAACATCCTAAGTAATGTTTATAAGTTTAGCTTTGTTTTGAAAGTGAGTATGGATAAACACACAATAAATGGCTTTGTTTATGATACAAAACACCTTTTTTCAGCGTCGTGTTAAGTCCAAAGCATTTCGTTATAAAGGCAAGTCTACGGTACAATGAACATTAAAGGCTACAGGAGTTCCCAACGTAATGTTCAGTATCGTGTTCCTCCAAGCCTTTATATAACGCAAAATATATTATAATATATTATCCAGCGTGGATTATGCATTCCTTTAATTTGCCAGGTTTTATATAATACAACTTCTTATCAAGCATAGTGTTCAAAATCACAGTGAATTACTACTCTTTATTAATAAAAATAAAACAACTTCTTATCAAGCATAGTGTTCAAAATCACAGTGAATTACTATTCTTTATTAATTATATAATACAACTTCTTCTTATCAAGCATAGTGTTCAAAATCACAGTGAATTACTAGTCTTTATTAATTATATAATACAACTTCTTATCAAGCATAGTGTTCAAAATCACAGTGAATTACTAGGCTTTATTAAAAAAAAAAAAAAAAAACTTATCATCCGGTTTGTGTTCAGATTTATAATTCATTTTCCAGTCTTTCTCTATCACAGAACCTGCTATTCAAGGGATAATTAATGACTGTGGTGAGTTTACAGATTTTCTATTTCACAAAGCCTCTTTTCAAGCCCGTTTTAAGTACTAAGGTTATTCAGTAATATGAACTGTTCGTGATGTGACGTTAAAAACCAGGGCTAAGCTTTTCATCGAGTTAATAGCCTTTCTATAACACAAAACCTTATATCAACTTTGTGCTAAGGGTTCTCATTAATTTCTCTGCCTTTTCTATAATGAAACCTATTATCAGCCTTGTTCTAAAGCTCAATGAATTCCCAGCTTTTATTTCTATACCGCAAAATCTATTAAAAACCTGGTACTAAACATTCTCAATAAATTTCCAAGCCTTTCTACAACATAAAATCTTTTATCAACTTCCTCACTTATTCCCTGTCTTTTCTACAACAAAACCTATTATCAACCTTGTTCTAAATGTCAACAAATCCTCAGCTTTATTTCTATAACGCAGAATCTATCATAAACCTGGTGTTAAACGTCCTCAATGAATTCCTAAAAAATTCTGCAACATAAAACCTTTTATCAACTTCCTCACTTAATTCCCTGTCTTTTCTACCACAAAACCTATTATCGACCTTGTTATAAATGTCAACAAATCCCCAGCTTTATTTCTATAACGCAGAATCTATTACAAACCTGGTGTTAAACGTTGTCAATGAATACCCAAGCCTTTGTTTAACACAAGACCTCTACCCTCTTCGAGCCTCTCACCGAGTTGCTAGCTTTTCTATATCACAAAACCCATTAGTTAAGGTAGCACTAACCCCAGGAGAGTCCCTCGGTTCGCCTCTGACCTGGAGTAGCATCAGCAACGTCGTCCGGTGACTAATTCTTATGTTTAAACCGGCCGTCAACACCTCAGCCGGCAGAGGTCACCCCAGGTCAACTATATATCAAAACTGACCATCCATTATCTGGTATCTTGGGGTATGTCGTAGCCTCCTAAATCAAACGGGTGTCGTGTGACCTCCCGTGACCTCTGAACGACCTTCGTGATCCAGTCTCGCGTATGTATATTTTTTATAGTAGTTTACCAGGGTGTGTGCGTGTGTCTTGAGCATATGCTGTTAGTATATGCTGCGGGGGGGAGGGGGGGGCATTACAGCATAGGGGTTCATGCGGAGAGTCCCCCAGCACGCAATGCCGAAGTTTCTTGACCTCTCGGGCGCTATGCTGGGGCCAATTCATCATATGTTGTGCGTTATGGTCCTCGTGGTGTAAGACGTATGGGTTCGTTAAGTATTTTGTTGTGTGTGCGTGGGGGTGGGCGAGTATGTGGGGAGGGGTGTATGTGTGTATTGGGGGGGTCTGGAGGATGGTTTTGTGTGCGTGTGTGTGTGTAATCCTGACATCTCTATATCTTATACTTTTTGTTTCTGTTTTTTTCTTTATCAGTCTCTCTCTCTCTCTCTCTCTCTCCTCTCTCTCTCTCTCTCTCTCTCTCTCTCTCTCTCTCTCTCTCTCTCTCTCTCCCTCTCCCTCCCCCCCTCCCCTCCCTCCCTCCCTCCCTCCCTCCCTCCCTCCCTCCCTCCCCCTCCCTCCCCCTCTTTCTTAAACACATAAATAAACCAAAATACTATAAAAAAAGAAGTTTACTGATAAATGAGGCGACAGGATAATGTTATCAAATATATGACTGATGTCTGCTATCTTTATTTCAATTAAGTCAATGAGCTGTTAAATCGGCTATTTCACAGTCCATTTAACTAGCTTATCGTCTATCGTGTGGCGCATTTATAATGATTATTATTATCATTATTGTTATTATTTTTGTTGTTATTATTGTTTGTTGTTATTATTATTTTTTATTATTTATTATTATTATTATTATTATTATTATATTATTATTATTATATTATTGTTATTATTATTGTTATTATGTTATTATTATTGTTATTATTATTGTTATTGTTTATTGTTATTGTTATTGTTATTGTTATTGTTATTATTATTATTATTATTATTATTATTATTATTATTATTATTATTATTATTGTTATTATTATTATCATCATTATTGTTATATTTTTGTATTATTATTGTTATTGTTATTATTGTTATTATTATTATTATTGTTATATTATTGTTATTGTTATTGTTATTGTATTGTTATTATTATCATTATTATATTATTATTATTATTATATTATTATTATTATTATTATTAATTACTATTTTTATTGTTATTATTACTGTATTATTATTATCATAATTATTATCATTATTATTATAAGTATTATTATTATTATTATTTTTTTTTTTTTTTTTTTTTTTTTATTACTATTACTATTACTTTACTATTACTATTACTATTATTATTACTATTACTATTACTATTACTACTACTATATTATTATTTATTATTATATTATTATTATTATTATTATTATTATTATTATTATTATTATTATTATTATTCATTATTATCATTATCATTAATATGATTACATTTTTTGAAAACGTTGTATCATAAAGATGTTGTACCTTTATGTAATTCTATCTTATAAAATTGATATAAGCAAAAACAAAAAACAAAAACAGCTAAAACAAAACAACAACAATAACGACAAAAATGAAACAAACAAAAACAGAATCAACGACAACAATAACGACAAAAACGAAACAAACAAAAACAAATCAACGAAAATAAAGAACAAGACCAATAAAATGTAATTTCATCCCCAACAGAAAAATGCATTTCCTCCACAAACATCTGAAATAAATCTTAAATTCTAAATGTTTAGATATTTTCAGGAAAAAAAAGTCACCAAGATTGAATAGATAAGAGAAAATACTAATAAAAGAAGCATATAATCTTATGCAATTTTCTCTATTTACGTGAAAATAGAGGTAGGATAATTTTGCAAAATTTAAAGGTATCTGGATTCTGAGAAAAAAGGGGTTTCAATTATTTTTATCTGATACAAGACTTTTTTTCAATTTTCGTAATGAGTATATATATATATATATATATATATATATATATATATATATATATATATATATATATATATATATATATATATCTTTCCATACATGTAACTATATGTATATATGATATGGATAGGAACACATACACGGACACACGAACACAAACACACACATACACACACACACACACTCTGACTGTGTGCGTTCATTGCTTCACGTGTATATATAAAAAAAAGAGAGAAAGAAAGAAAAAAAGGAGCGAAAAAAAGAAAGAAAAAAAATGTACATACACACACACACACACACACACACACACACACACACACACACACACACACACACACACACACACATATATATATAATATATATATATATATATATATAATATATATATATATATATATATACATATCACTACGTTTCTCTACCTCTTTCTTTCCTTATCATGCTTTCCCTCACTCCTTCATTCCTT